CGAAGATTATTATTTAATCATATACTACATTAGAAACGGTGAACCCGACTATGTCGGAACTATAATGTCTTTCAACAAATAGTTACAGATATAAATTGTTAAGAAGTAACAGAATATAGAATTTAATGGGTTTTATGATTTGTTATGATTGATAATAGAATTTAGTGATTTGTCCACAAGATCATTAAATTTATTTAGCATAAAACTAGTATAGATTTGATTATAAATCTCAAATATGCATGCAAACAAGAGAATAAGAAATTTATTTATATAATATGGCAATGGTTTGGTGGTTCGCAATAAGACAAAGAAGTTGGTTGTAAGCAGTAGGAAGATCCAACGGAGACAGGTAATATGACTTCACTGACAAGGGCCTTTCGGTCATCTCCTATTTTATTGACAGTAAAACAAGTGGCACTATGGCACTATATGAGTATATTCGTTAAGTCATCTCCTCTGGTTTAATTATAAAAGATATAATGAATTTCACTGATCAAACCATTTAAGAAATTATGAATCCGTATGAATCCTTTTTTTTGTTAACCGGAATTTCAATTGAAATGCAGGACAAATAAATAGAGAAGTCTAGATACTCGTGGTTTCGTGAGTCGAGCTGTAGACTTAGTTTTATTCATAGACTAAAAAATTTGAGTAAGAAAAAGAGATTTTAGATAAATTAACATATATATTTTCCCATTACATGATTAATAAATGGGATATGACTTCGCCGGTTTATATATTTCATTATTTTGGGTGAAAGAATAAAACCGAAAACGTAGATTTAAGCCGTCGGATCTAAAAAGCTTTTTTTCTTTTGCCAAAAATGAGAGTATAAGATCCCCATGCAGATATCTACGGCTGTGATTTGCTCTGTCGACAGATTAATCCGTGGGGATTAGACCCATGCAGAAACCTCACGTGAATATTCTACATTGGGATTATTCCTTTTCTAGATTCACATGCGCTTACTATGCTAAATCGCGCACACGTTAGCATGAAGTCCCTTTTCCTTTCACTAAATTACGCTTAGCAGATCAGTTGGGACGATGACCGTTGTAATAACCTTCTCGAGATAAATCAATTCGAAAAGAAGTATTAGTATTTTCCTATCCACCTAATAAAAATAATAATACCAAAAAGTTTATTAATTGTAATTATTGCCACTGAAAAATAATTATTATTTATTTACGCGTGAAGTATTGGACCCCTCCTGACACGGCTTTTACCTAAAAAATGAAACGGCGTTAACGTTGCTGTTAATTGCGCTGCAGACTAGTTTATATGCGTGTCCGTTTATAGGATATCTTAGTGGGGCCTTTAGACATCCAACGGCTATTATTTGCTGACGTGGAAAACACTTGTCAGCCTTTTTTTATACTATTCTTTATCTATTAATTGACAATGTAGTTTAATGAAATATGTTAATTTTTTTTAATTTTATTGGTTAAAAAATCAATCTAACCTAATTAAATATAACATGGAAATGATGATATGTAATGATGATGTAATTGTGACATGGCAAAAAAAATTTATATGTTTAATTTATTTTATGAAAACTGAAAAATATAAAATATTAATTATTAATATAAATTATAAACCGTCATTTTTTATCACATGCACAAAATATATATTATATTTTTTATTACATACACAAATTTGTACAATTTAAATTTTATAAAAATTATATCTTCATCGCATCTACCGACTATATAATCTAAAGTAACATTAATCTAACAATTAATGTTTAACTAAAAAATTTATTTTTGTTGTCCACACAAAATAGAAGCTAAACAAAATACAAAGAAAAGTTAGAGTATATCATGTTTTGTTAACCGAAGTATGATTATCTACTTTTAACAATCTTCTTGAGATTGTCTTTGCGCAATATAATCCAAAACAACATTAATTGTATCATCAAATTGTATAAAAATTATGAGAATTGTCTTCATCACATGCACCGGCTATATAATCCAAAGTAATATTAATCTAACAATGTTTAACTAAAGAACCCATTTTTATGTCCACACGAAACAAAAGCTAAACAAATATACAAAGAGAAGTTGAAATATATTTAAATTCAAATAATTTTCTGTGTTTAATTTATTTTAGTTCAAATATTTGTTTTATACAAAAAAGTCTTAGAGAAATTAGAGGCTAAATAACTGAATATATTGAAGAATATTAATTGAAGACGAAGTAGATGATGAAATTTGTAGCTATATATGTCTGACCCGCAAATCCGCAGCAGGTAACCCACTCAACCACATATTTGGTCTTTTAACATAATAAAATAAGTCTTTTGTTATAATAAAATGTTTAATTAAAATTATACCATATTTTGCTATTAGGGCATATAATTTAATCGTTCTACCTAATTTTTTATATATTACAAAAAATTAGAATATTTATAACGATTTAGATATTATATTTATATAATTAATTTTTTAAAACTGTTTATGCCTGCACATGTGTGCATGCCAAACTCCTAGTATGATACTAAATTCTGATTTCTCTTATTTACAGAATTTATACTATAAGATTACTGATTACTTTATATATTGGTCACACCTAATAATTTTTTGACTAAGTGAAATATACAATTTTTTAATTATGCAAATTTTGCAAGTTAAAAAAAATATCTATTTTGGTGGACCATTTTTATTTTAATAGTAAATCAAATCGCAAAAACAAATAGAGTAAATATAATTATTAAAAAGCCTACAGCTTATAAACAGTTAATTTTTTTCCTCGATAAATTGTTTCTTTTTATCATGGCAATTGTTTTGTTATGGAACTAGAGGTTAGAACTCCACAAACTCCATTAGTACACAAGATCTTTGACTCGTACTGTGAATCTGTGATTGATTGATACTTTAACGAACTAAAAAAACTGTGATTGTTTAATTATTATATAGTATTATGTTTATAATAAGAGAAAAAACAAATTTTAAAACTATGATAGTTTATTAAAACAAAAAAACAGACTAAAACCATTAACACATTAATAAATTTATTTATTATTACAACGTATACGATTTTTAAATTTTCATTATTTCATAGGATAATAAATCAAATTAAGTAGATTTTGTTGCAAAGTAACAGCAAGCTTTACAAGAAAGAAAAACAAGTATATAGTTTTCAAATGATTAAATTACATCCAACACGGATATATTAGGTGAAGGGTTGAAGGTAGGGCCCATCTTTTGTTAACGCTGCTAGTTAACGTCGGCAGTGGTTCAGTAATACGACACCGTTTGTTTGTGCATTCATTGGCACAGAGCCGCGGCGCAAATGGTGCGTTTTGACCTCCCGCGCCACACGTCACTTGCCACGTGTTAATCTTTAAAAACCCGCGTTTCCTTCACGCGATTCTCATTTGATGGAGCCGCGATTTTTTTTATATTTCCCGTTGCAAATGTCTTTTTGTCCTCTCAGTGTCAGGCTTATTTACGGAAATACCCATTTAATAGTGTTTCTCAAATAATGGCAAATCCGTCAATTCGATCATCCGAGAGGGGTATTTCAGAGAATATACCATTAGGGACGGTGTATTGGGGCGGCTAAACCAATCCGACTTTTATTTTCTCCGTTATGCGCTTTATGGGAAATTTCAATGAATTAAAAACACAAAATACTAATTAAAAATTGAAAATTCAATGATACGCCTTTTATTTTTGACCCCGAAAGTCTCAAAATAAATTGTTTATTAAACCCTAATGATTCACCTTTTCTTAAAATGTACCCCGTTTGTCTTCGAGGAGAGATCTCAGGTCCACAGCTTTTTATAGCAACTCAAATTTATATTCTTTTCTTATAAGTTTGTATTATGATTTTAGTTTTTGCACTTTATCCCTCCCCGAAGAAACCTCTACAACACATAAAAACAATTTGAGCAAATTTCATATTTAATAATTACACCATGAGGCGAATTACTCATTTATACCATTTTCAGATTTTGTGAGGATATAAATTTATCAGACATTTTTTGCTTACAAAGTCTGTAATCTACGATATATAAAATTTATAAGAAAATGAAGTGTTGGTTGAATAGAGCTGACACAGCACCTGTGACTATTTGTCGGGACACATGTGTAAGAAGCAAAGCTCTTCATGCTTTCTTGCTTCTATTGTTTTTCTCTCGTCGTCTTTTATATAAATCGTTTTTTATACTATTTTACATGTATATTATAAAGAAATTTTCAAGTTATTATACTTTCATTTAAAAAGTAAAAGAAAATGAATGTGCACAAAATAAGAAATTATGATTTACGGCAATGCTTTACGATCATTAACTATTAGTACCAGAGATTTTAAATCCTTAATTATTATTTTTTCTCGACTGTATCCACATCCTACTATTCAAGGGTTATCAATTATGACACGGATTTAGGGTCATTAATTCTATTGCGATACTAAAATGTCATTTTAGCGGTATGAAAATTGTCGAAATATATAATTAATAAATCTCTGCACTCTATCGAATTTCTAAGCGAACCATGGAAGTATTATATTAGGTAATATATGATATGTTTATCAATTATCATCATAACAAACCAGGCATTGTGATTTATTTATGTTCTTCAATATCTTCTTCTAGTTTAAACTTGAAAAAAAATAAAGCTGGATAGTATTATCCGGAGGAAAGATATATAATTACAACAATCAATTTACGATTTTAATTAATTTCAGTATTTGCTAAAATATCTTGTCACCGTATAAAATAAAAACAAATAAAAAGGAATATGGAAATAAGTATATTTTGAAAATTTCGTTAATCGAAAATATAAACCCACCCAAAGCCAGATGGAAAACCTCATATTCATTTTCTCTCTCTCTCTCTCTCTCTCATTAGCCTTTGGTGGTCTCATCTCTCTCTCTAAACCTCCATAGTTTATTTTCCTACGCAAGCTATATTATCTCTTTACTCTCTCTTTTTCTCTAAAAGCTTTTCAAATCATACACACACGGAAGCATTTGGTACTAAAGATCCGATGATAAAAATGGAAGCTTTGAGTTGTTTCTTAGTGTTCATGTCTCTGTTTTCCGGTTTAGTTTCTGGATTTGCTCTGCAAAACCTTCCAATCACTTCGTTTGAAGAAAGCTACACACAACTTTTCGGCGACAAGAACTTGTTTGTTCATAAAGACGGCAAATCTGTCCGGTTAACGCTCGACGAAAGGACCGGTACGGTCTTTGATTTTCCTCTGTTTCCTCGTTAAAGTCCTGATCTTTTCTTTTCTTGGTTTAATGATGATTTATTAATTTTGGTTTTGCAGGTTCTGGGTTTGCCTCAAATGATCTCTACTTACATGGATTCTTCAGTGCTTCAATCAAATTACCTTCTGATTATTCTGCTGGAGTTGTTGTTGCCTTTTATGTGAGTATAAACACCATATTTAGCTTCAATTCATTGTTTTAAACTCTTTTGTATGGTTAGGATTAATAAATTAATGAGCTTTCTCTCATAAATATGATTATTTTTCAGTATTAATTTGATTTTTTCTGTTGTGATTGTTTTTTCAGATGTCAAATGGAGATAAGTATGAGAAGAACCATGATGAGATAGATTTTGAGTTTCTTGGTAACATTAGAGGAAAAGAATGGAGGATTCAGACAAACATTTACGGAAATGGAAGCACTCATTCGGGAAGAGAAGAGAGATATCATCTCTGGTTTGATCCAACTGAAGATTTTCATCAATACAGTATCCTCTGGTCTGATTCACACATCATGTAAGTAAATAAACCTCTAAACATCATAGTCTCAGTGTTTGTTTGATGCTATTAAACTTAAAAAAAAAAAAAAACCTTAGAATCTTGAAAGGAAGTTAGGTTCTTGACCCCATTTGATTTAATTTTTTTCGAGGATTCAATAATGTCATCTTCTATTTAAGGAAACCCCAAGTGGGGTTTAATGTTTGGGGGAGGGAGATCTTTTGGTTTTCTTTTATGCTCAAATTTCTTGGTGGATTTTAATTTTTTGTTCTTTCTTCTAGTGGAAAGTTTTGTGATGCTTGGGACATCATTTGCTTTTGGTTGTATTGTTCCTGTCAATTTTGAAATCTGTGAGCCCCAAAAATGGTTTACAGCTTTCGATTTTTGGCATCAACAAAGGCCCCATACAGAGTATGTTTTCCTTTGGGGGTCCAATCCAAGTTTGAGAATCTTTACTTAGTTCATCAAAAGCTGGAATTTTTATGCCAAAATGTTATCTTTTTAAAGTTGAAGTATTGATCAAAATCGAAACTTTTTCCCCAAAATTGGTGTCTTGAGTCCATGCAGAATCTAATGGATCATCAAAAGATGTTATTTCCGCCAAACATGTTGGAAAACACAATTTTTTTTTAATGTGGGTACTGATCAAAATTGTTAATTTTTTTTTGTTGGTTATACAGATTCTATGTAGACGATATTCCGATAAGAGAGGTGAAGCGAACAGAGTCGATGGGCGGTGACTTCCCGTCGAAGCCGATGTCTCTCTACACAACAATATGGGACGGTTCTAAATGGGCAACTAACGGTGGCAAGTACGGTGTAAATTACAAATATGCCCCTTACATCGCCCGGTTCTCTGACCTAGTCCTTCACGGCTGCGCCGTGGACCCGATCTCGCAGTTTCCGATGTGCGACGAAGGAGCGGCCGAGGATATCCGTGCGGCGCAGGAGATTACGCCGTCGCAGAGGGGTAAAATGGGTATTTTCAGGCGGAAGTTCATGACTTACTCGTACTGCTATGATCGGACAAGGTACAAGGTTGCTTTACCGGAGTGCGTGGTGAATCCCGCGGAGGCTAAAAGGCTTAGGGTTTATGATCCGGTTAGGTTCGGTGGGATCCCGAGGCACCATCGCATCGGAAAACGCCGTAGCAAGAGAAGCCGTGTTGACGGAACAGAGTCGATATAATAAGTCAATAATATTTATGGTTTTGGATGAGACTTGAGGGGGGGCTTCCATCTATTGGGATTTATGGATTCAATGTTATTTTTGGGGGGCATTTCTGTCATTTATTGCTTGTATATGAATATTAATAAAACCATAATTTTTTTATTTGTGAGATTTGGAGTTTTGAACACTTACTTTACTTATATGATGATCATCCATAAAGTGTATTTCTTGTTTTTGTGAATATTTTTGTTTACGAATATTTGCGTTGTAATTCCAACTTTCTTTGATATTTTTATTCTCATTTTTTTTATGTGTATGGATCATTAGTTTATTTAATTCAATTTGAGTACTTTATGTGACAAAAGTTTTGTCTCTCTTGTACTTGTTTTATTCAACGGGTCCACTGAATATTATTTGGTTAAATTTTGTGTGGCCATGTTCATGCACATATGTGTACATGCTATTAGAAATTTACATAATCATTAGCCAGGCCGTGTCTAAAGCATACGAAGAGAATTCATGATAGGTTTTAAAAAAAAAATTGTAAATCAGCAACAAACTTTTTGAAAACAAAAATTATGATTCAAAACAGTTTTGGCTTAGTTCATTTTCAAGGTCGAAAATTCTCATTTTAGGGACCATCCAAGAGATAAGCCATTTGCGAAAATGGGACAAATTTGGCTTAGCTCATTCTCATTTGTGTTGTTTACTGTTTTAGACGTCGATGTTTTTGCTTTTGCCAGCTATTTTTCAACTGGAACCCTCTATATGCTTCCAAAGGTTTTGCCACGCAGCTGTAGTTCTTATCCGGAAAAATACAGCTTTTTCTTTTTTTCGCCTTTTCAAGTCGGGTCGGGTCATGTCTTGTCGGTACGGGTCGGATCGGGTAATTAGAAAAAGAAAAAAAAAAAAAAAACTTCATCCCCTTCCTCGTGTTTCTCTCTATCTCAAACTCGCTCATTTTGTCGATTCCATTGATTCCTCACAAGGAGGTAAGCTTCTTCGATTTTTTCCTCACTAGACTAATACAGTGTTCCCGATTCTATTGAGCTTAGATTAGTCTGGATTCGAATTGATTCGCCGTGAAATTAGAACCCTAATTGAGGAATGATACTGCATTGTCCTGTCTCTTCGTCACTTAGCTTCCACCTGAAACTTCAATCGAGCAGTATCATAGTGACAAAAGTCTCAGCCAAAGTCAACGCTAGTCAAAGAACTCACTCTAAGAAACTCACTAAGAACCTCCGTAATCCACGCCGCACCAAGCTTCCTCCTGATTTCGGTGTTAATCTGTTTCCGAGGAAACCCATCACCGAACCACCATTAGTAGAACAAGATCAAGAGCCAGAGGAGCGATTGGATGCTGAAATCATCTGGGAACCAAACGAAATCGAGGCGATTTCATCGCTTTTCCAGAAAAGGATCCCTCAGAGACCAGGCAAACCGAGCAGAGTCAGGCCTTTACCGCTTCCTCTGCCTCACAAGCTACGACCTTTGGGTCTCCCAACTCCAAAGAACAACATCATCAGATCAGCTGCATCATCCTCTGTATCGAAGCAAGTGTGTAAAGACCCGAGCTTTCTCATCGGTTTAGCTAGAGAGATCAGAAAGCTGCCTTCTTCTGATGCAGATGTCTCCATAGTGCTCAACAGATGGGTTAGCTTCTTGCGTAAAGGATCGCTCTCCACGACGATTCGAGAATTGGGTCATATGGGTTTGCCTGAGAGAGCTTTGCAGACTTACCGTTGGGCGGAGAAGCATCCTCATCTGTCCCCGGATAACCGGATTCTTGCATCCACGATCCAGGTTCTTGCGAAGCACCACGAGCTGAAGCTGCTTAAGTTCGACAATAGTTTGGCTAGCAAGAACGTAATTGAGGCGATGATCAGAGGATGCATCGAAGGAGGGTGGCTGAATCTAGCGAGGAAGCTTATTCTGATCGCCAAGAGCAACAATCGAGTACTCGACTCGAGTATATACGTGAAGATGATACTGGAAATAGCCAAGAACCCTGACAAGTACCATCTTGTTGTTGCTCTTTTGGATGAACTGAAAGATAGAGAAGACTTGAAACTTAGCCAACAGGACTGCACAAGTGTTATGAAGATCTGCGTGAAACTGGGAAGATTCGAGCTCGTTGAGTGTCTCTTTGACTGGTATAAAGAATCAAACAGAGAACCGAGTGTTGTGATGTACACCACGATGATACATAGCCGGTTTTCGGAAGAGAAGTACCGCGAGGCTATGAGTGTGGTTTGGGAGATGGAGGAATCGAACTGTCTTCTTGATCTTCCTGCGTATAGAGTAGTCATTAGACTGTTTGTGGCATTGGATGATTTGAGGAGAGCAATGAGGTATTACTCTAAACTCAAGGAAGCTGGGTTTTCTCCAACGTATGATATCTATCGCGATATGATTAGCGTTTATACCGCTTCCGGGCGTTTGACAAAGTGTAAAGAGATAAGTAAGGAGGTTGAAGATGCTGGATTGAGGTTGGATCATGATACTTCATCTAGGTTGTTGCAGCTCGAAAAACAAGCAATGTCTCTTTATGTATAGACTTTTTGCACTGAAGAGAAAGTTACATTTGTTGTTTATACATCAGCTTCTTCTTAGTATTCTGTTAGTTTGGGGATGCTTTGTTTGAATACATATAACTTTAGAATCACTAAATTGTGTAAGCATAGTAAAACAAGACACTGTATTTTTACTGTTTAAAGGTGTTTTCAGGCAAAGACGAAAGTGGAAACTGAACAATCTCAGAATCAGACATTGGAACTGTGTTTTGTTCTGGAACTGATTCTGGTCCATCCATGGATGGTTTAATCACTGTAATGAACAAAATGTTGTAGAACAAAGTAAGAGCTAAGAGAAGAAAAGCTGAAGTTGTGAGGAACGATCCGGATATCTCAGGCGGTTCTTCAAACATGAACGGATCAATTGATGAATCTCCAGTGCTTGTTCTGACAACATCGGTTGTTGATGCCTTGACGAGGATTCTGGGGTTTTTCTCATCGGCTTGAGATTCGATTTGTTGATCAAGCTGTTTCAGAGCTTCTCTGGCTTTATCTCTATCGATTTCAAATCTCTGTGAAGAAGAAGAAGAATCGTCTCTTTCAGTGGCTCTGATAACACCCATCAGATGTCTCATCTTCTTCTTATTCTCCATGAATCCTCCATGGCCGAACCAGTTAAGAGACTGTAACACCAACACCACCATACTCTGTTTTTTATTCTATAGCTTGGTAATGATTGATAAATTTTGGTGTGTGGACATCGTCGTTGTTGGCAAAATTGTTAAGATACCACCACAGGCACAGACCGACTTCGGGATTTTTGATGATTATGTGTGGCATTCAAAATTTTGACCCATGTAAAAAGTCTTATGTTGTAATTCCAAATATAAGGCTTTAAAGGCCCATTTTCAAAGGCCTTTAAGGCTTCAAATGAAAAATGGTATGATATTTTTTAACAGTCCATCTGACTTAATATTCTGAACATTTTATATCTTAATTAATATAAACAAAAGATATCTTATCTTTGGGCCAAAAAAAAAAAAAGATATCTTATCTTCGTCAAAACATATAAGATTTTGCTGAAGTTGAGCTCATGGAGTCAAAACTGAAGTTGAAGCTGAACAATCAACAATCACTAACGGTGAACCCAAAACTGAATCTGATCGATCATGGCAAGCGGCCAAAAATTTCTATAAAATATTGTAAAATCTTGATTGATTTTTTTATTTATAAATTGATAGATTTGGCGATGTAGTATTGTTTTGTTATTTTTCATTGCATATGCCATATGTATAAAAAAAATTGCTAGATCGAAAGACAAAATTATAATATGGTTTTTAAAAGTCTTATTAGTGATATCACGATCAAATAACAAAACAGCTTGTTTTGTAATCGAAAGATTCGCATCCAATCTTGAAACAATAAGTAAGCAAGTTAACATGTAAACAAATAGCACGTTCTTACAGGTGTTTAGTTAACTTTTTGAACTTTTTAACTTGTTATTATCAGTCACACAATTTTGACGGCACCTAACTTTTTTGGTTGAAGAATTGAGACAACCATTTTTGTGTTGTTAATTATTAACAACAAGCTTTTGTTCATATTTTAGATTCCGTATAATCACTATTTGGTTTGCAAACTTCAAGGCTAATCATAAAACATTTTCATAATTTTAAACGATGTATAGTAGAGCTCAATATCCTTCTTCCGTTAAACTGGCCTCAAGACTCTTTGGTACTATATAGTTTTGATTAAACCATACTATGTAATCTTACTGCATGAGCTAACTTTTCCAACTTTGTTAAGAACCATATATGAACACACAATTTTGCAACTGCATACAATTTTGTAGAACTACTATTACTTGACGCAGAAAGAAATCAATGATGTGCACATCATATTGTCTCACGTATACCACACAACAATCGAAATGAATACATCTCTTGTAAATAAGTCTAAAATGAAAGTATGCTTAACTCTCTCTCTCTCTCGCGCGCGCTTTTTATTTTTGGGGGTAAAATGTTAAATTGCTTAACTAAGTTTCTCTCTCTCTTTTATTTTTTTAGTAATACTCTTTAAAAGAGTGAAAATCTTTTGGATTTCTTTTTGGACAATGTGTACTGGTGAAGAACATTGCCGGAAACATCATAGTAGATGAACTTAGCTTGAGAGTGACTGACGTGAAGAGACATGAAACCTTGTCCGTCGTAATACAATTTGAGTTCTTTTGGATCCCATGGCTGAATAATTCCTCTCCATGCCTTTGATCCTCCTCCACTTGTTAGAAATTGAATCTCACTTCACAATTCCAAAATTAAATATTTAGTTTTGTTTTTAAAAGTAAACATTTTAACTCAACTAAATTCAAAATGAGTTGAAATTTGTTAATATTAAAAATGATTAAAAGAAGAGTGTAAGTATAATTCTACCCGTCAGAGCCAATGTGTTGCAAGCAATGATCATGACCGTTTATGTACATGTCCACTTTATTCTCCTTCAATAGTACATAAACAAATTAGGACAAAAAGAGATTTTCATAACAAAATGATAACAATTAACAGAAAATGATTATTAAACAAGTACCTCTAAAATTGGTGGAATTAAACAAGAAAACAATTTACCTCTAGAATTGGAAGAAGATGATCTACGAGCTCTTGGGTGTTACCATGTTGACCTGCGGTTTTGATCGCGTGATGTCCAACGACAATTTTCCATGTGGCTCGCGACTTTTTAATCTCTAAATCTAAATCCTAATATTTTTTAATAATAAAATTTTAAAAATGATTAGAAAATATCAAAACCAAGATGCATCATTGATATATAAAAGAATTCAATTTCTGATTATAAATCTTTCTGAAACAAAAAAAATGTATTACATGTAAGAGGTTTGAGATATATTTATCTCTGGGTAAGACGTTGTTCCAGTCATAAGTGTGATTTCCTGGATCTGTGAAGTATTTTTCTACAAACGGATTTGTATCCACGAAGAAAAACTCCACCATTCCTATAACCACCAAAACAATCATCACTAATCAACCAAAATAATTAAATTTTGTGTAGTAGTATGCGATCGTAGTTGACTGGATGCAGTTTGTTCCAAAATCATGATACGTAACGTTAATACAATCCATCAAACTATATGTTTCGGCTATTTTTTACTCAAAATATCCAAATGAATCTTACAATTAGACTACATTTTAATTTGGCCATAACTTCTTTTACTTTTTTACTAAACAAAAACTAAACCAGATTTAATTCAAAAAATATTTTTAAGAAAAATATTCAGAACTTGTATGCAAACTTGAACACGAGTTTATACATCTACATACATATGTATTAATATACATATATCAACCTAGTGTTTATTATTCAATTGTGTATTAATTAATCCTTCTTTAGTCAGAATCCAAGAAATTTATATAAAAAAACTTTTCTGACAAATCCAACATCTTAAAAAAATTAGAATATATGAATTGAATATTCTTGTTCCTGTATATAATCACTAACTTAATACTATATTAGATGCAGTTTGCATAAAAAAGAAGAAAAATATGAACCTGAACATAAGACAAAAGATCTGCAACAGAACCATCTCCAATCTTTTTGGGGGAGAACTTGACTTAGCTGTGCCGAAACATTTCCTCTGTAATCATGGTTCCCCAAAACTGCAGTAACATTTGAGTTTTTACTTCCACGCGTTAATTAATCATAGATAACACATTTCAGTTTAATAAAACATGTAAAAAATTTCATTAGGAAGAGGTGAATTTACCAGAATACCACTGTTTTTGGAGACTGGGATGAGTGTAGATATGAGAGAAAGAGGCTTCAAACGAAGGATCAGTGTCTCCTGTTAAACCGTCGTCATAGAAATTATCTCCTACGGATATCACAAATTCTATGTCGAGTTGCTCTCCAACGATTCCCATCTGCCATATTTTCAAATTTTCAGTTTTAAATTCCACGTCTAGTTTTTTAGAAGTTAATTATGGGTGAAACAACAAAAAAAAATATTCCATTTATGAAATAAAAATATAATACTGAATAAGTCATTTTCACCCTATTTCCAAACAAAAGGTCGTTTTAATTAGGATATTATTATAGTTGTGATGATTGTTTTATTTTTATTTTATAGTGCGCCTACGTGGGAAAGTTACAATAATAATAAAAAAATCCAAAGATTAAACTATAAAATGAATATTAATTATTGTGTATTTGTTGCCTTGAACACATATATGCATTTACACTGTTAAACATCAAAGTCGTCGGGAGTATATGATTAATTAACAATTGTTACCTGATGAGCAACGAGAGATTGATTGAAACCTCCTTTTCGTCCCCAATCTCCGACGACCAGAATATTCAAAGAGCCATCAGATTTCGTCACCGGATGCTCCAATCGCTCAAGCTTCGACAAAGAACCATTGATGAAGATACATAGAAACATCAAACGCACAAAACTAAACATCAACACACCCATCTTCATCTTAGTTCTTCTTAGTTATTTTCTCTGGTCTAAGAAGATCCAGAACACCCAATGCATATATAGGGAGAGAGAAGTTAGGTGCCAATTAATATAAGATGGATTCGTAAGGAAAACATGGTTCATAAATTATTGAACAGATTTTATAATCATTTTGCCATATACAAATTAAGAGGACTTTGACCCCCTGAATAGAAAAGTACCTTATGTAATCTTTTATATTTTATTTAAGGTATGCACCATGCTGCGTGTTGCTTAGTTACACGTTTAGGTCCTAGTTTTTTTTTTCTAAGGTTTCCTATCTGTTTGTAATATCAATATTTATGGGATATATTTCTCTAATTTATGTTTAATACCCCCCTCTGTTTCTTAATAATATATGTTTTAGAAAGAAAAATATTAGATGTTTTATATTTCCTTGTTATTTTTTTCTTAGTTTACCCTAATTGTTTTATTTTAAAAGAAAACTAAAGTAGTAATTAATATAATAAGAATAAAATTATAATTTTGAATACTTTTTTAATATCTGTGAAAATATCAGAAATTCTTTATTTTAAAAAGCAGAGGGAGTATATGTTAATACTTATAAGATATTTTATGCATGGATATATCTAGTAAAAAATCCAAAATATATGTTATTTTGAGTTTGAATCATAAAGAGATTTTCTTCGAAGGATTCCTTTCTTTATGTGAAACAAACCAAAATAATAATTTGGAATGTCTACATATAGTGGAGTATTTTATACTAATGAATTATGAAAAGGTAACGTGCACACGAGAACCATGCGTATCTTTTCTTATCTTTCTGCTTCTCTTCTTTTTATAGTATAAAAGAAATAAATATCAAATTAAGGGACTAAACGTATGTCTACATGTAAATTTCCCTTTCTCAAACTTTAATTAAGAGCTGGAAAATAATTACACAACATTAAAAAAATGATTACGCCACGTCACGTGAAACGACAGCACAAGAAATATAATTAAAAAACTGGATTTCTTAACTTTTCCTTTTAACCAGATCATTGACTATAGATTTCGGAATAAAGCCTCTTTTCATAAGTGCTCCATCGATGCAAAACGCGACCATAACCATCGTAAAAAACGACGCGTAGTTCGGCTTCCGTTATATCAACCGACATGAATCCTTGTCCGTCGTAGTAAAACTTCAGCTCTTGCGGGTCCCACTTATTCATATCTCCTTTCCACGCCTTGGACCCACCGCCACTTGTCATAAACTGTATTCCACTTAAGACAACAAAACACGCGTTGCCGTTTTTAGCTTTACGTTACAAATAATCAATCGATTACTTTAATTGCACGGATTAGTTTAATTATACTATAGAATTAGTCACCTGTTGATGCTGCTTATGTGCTCCAAGCAATGATCATGCCCGTTTATATATAGATCCACTTCATTAGCCTAATTTGTCAAAAAAAAATCAATTAATCCTTTTTATTTTTTGTTATTACGTATTTTAGTTATGTAAACAAAATAATTACCTCAAGGATAGGTAAAAGTTGTTTCTCAAGCTCTATGGTGATGCCATGGTGACCTGCACTTTTGATTGTATGGTGGCCTACTACAATTTTCCATTTGGCCACTGATTCTTGCAATGCCACGTCGACATCCTATATATTATTATAATGTATAATTGTATATCCCGATTAGGTTAATATTTAATAATATTGTAAAAAAATATGGACGAAAGTTTTTTGTATTTTAACAACATAAAAAAAATTCTTTGATAGTCATTAAATTTTTTACCGAATGATATTGATATTTTTAAATATACTTATAAACATGTATTGAAATAAAATATTTCAGTAAAAATTATGTCAAAAGTAAAAGAATTAGTACCGTTAGAAGATGGTTAAGATACTTGTGTCTTGGTAATACGCCTCTCCAATCATATACATGGTCCTTTGGTTCAACAAAATATTTATCTACGAACGGTGTTGTGTCCACGAAAAATACATCAACGATATCTACAAAATAAAAAGGTTGAATTGAACAAATTGTTATATATATATTTAAAATGAAAATGGTATTCACATTATGTTAAGTTAAATTACCAGCATTAACAACGTAAGATCTTAAACAAATCCATCGATAGTCCAAATGTCTTAGCATGTGGCTGAGTTGCGCATCGACGTTACCTCTATAATCATGATTTCCTAATACTGTAAGAGACCAAAAAAGGCTGTAAGAAAAAGTAAATATAAAATCTTTTTCTAATATATAGTTAAATTGTTTTTAGTTTTTGCGATTGAAAAAGATAGTTTACTTACCATTATACCAAATATAAATAAAAAAACTTACCATTATACCATGGTTTTTGTAAACTAGATGCTGTGTAAATATTGGTAAAAGAATCTTCAAATTGAGAATCATGTGGACTGATTATTCCGTCGTCGTAAAAGTTATCCCCAGTGGAAATGACGAAATCGATATTCAAATCTTTTCCTGTTTTTCCCATCTGAATGCAAAGAATTGTAGCCAATATATATTAGTAAAGTCAATCCCAAAAATGTACTATAAAAAGGAAAAAAAACAAAAACAATAAATCTTATTAAAACATATATATATATAATGTATAGCAAAACAAATAAAAAACACACAAAAATAAATGAAAAAACAAGGACAATTTGTCATTTTTTCCGTTCAATTTCGGATTTTGTTAGCTGCGAAAACTTGTCCAATTTACTACAAACTAAAAGACAAAACCCAAAAAAAAGCATACTGTTCATTGATTTAAAATAACATATACTTGTAGAAATAGGAGACGCAACCAATAATTGACATGGAATTGCAGCAATGGACAGTCTTAAGACTAATAGTTCCACGTTAGTTACGTAAAGAAAAAAACAAGTTACGTACAGAACTAAAGATATACTTACTTCGCCTTCACGGCTTAATTAACGTCCACACTCAGACAAAGAGTAATGGAATATGCCTCAAATATTATCACCAGCTCTCGATGATCCATTATGTTCTCAGAACTACTGTTATTATATAGATGCGACTAACAGCTTTAACAAGACTCAAAACGAATCTTTTACATGCAAATAGTTAGTGCAATAATTGTAATTATTATTGGTTTCTTTGTTGAATTGAAAGTATGAAATTAATCCGAACCCACAATATTTTTTTCTTTTTACAGTAAATGTATCATTATGTTTTTAATGATTAGAAGAATGAGAGAGAGAATACATTAAAAAATTGTTCTTAACTTAATTGCTTCCAGTATACTTTGGTGATAACCCACGAGAGTTTTTTAATCAACGATGCGTTCGACGTCAAGAAAACACGCTTTTCTCGCTTTTCCTATCATAAATAAAAGAATACTCTATGATTTATCTAATCATATTCTCGTCTGCTATCTTATTTCTTCTCATATCCATTTTAACCACTCCATTCAAGAAACCTTGAAACTAACTTATAGGTACAAACAAGAAATCAACATTGATTTTCCGTAAGAGATACATAAATTTACATACACACTTATATAGATACCACATATATATGTACATGTTCATGTACCTGAAGAGCTACTTGGGACTGATTATAAGAACCTCTTCTTCCCCAGTCTCCGACGACAAGAAAACTTAGAGTACCATCGGATTTTGGTGGCTGGACCAACCGTGGTAACTCCGCCGTGGTATTACCGGCCGATAATAAAATAATTAGACAGAAAATAGAAGATATGAATTGTATGGGATTATCTCTCATGGTATCCATTGAGAGAAAAGGAAAAGAGGGGGTGATGGTGGATTTTTGTTGTGGCTGTGTATTTATAGGCCTTATGTGGACAAGATTTTTTTAGGTATTAATTGATGTAATGATTGTGAAGTTTGCATGTATTGACCTATATGGCTTGATGGTTTTCGTGTAAAGTAACAGATGTTTAGAAATATTTTATGATATTGGTATTTTTTTTTCAACTATAAACTTATATCAGTTTCTTAATTAACTGGTCATTCATCGCATGATACAGTTTTATAAAAATCGCTAAAGTTTAATTGTGCGGTGAATGATATAAATAAAGATTTGATATAAATATTTAGAAAAGTGTGAAAAAGTTAAAGTCTATATATCATGCGGTTCATCAAAACTTTATCATCATTCACCGCAAGATGTTATTTGTCTCTCAACGTCTGAACTTTTCATAGTAATTGAAAAATCTCTATGTGATATATTCATAGCCTACTTAAAAGATTTCATTGTTGAAAAACTAGGACGTATGTTAGTTATGTATTTAAGATTAAATGGACTTTAGGAAATTAAGTGAAAATAATTTAGGTTTAAACAAAACAGGTAAACGAAGTTCAAACAAAAAAAAGACACGTAAACGAAAAGAAACGGTAGACTGGATTAGGCGTATAACATAGGTGACGTGGCATATGCTTACTTGGTCTATAGTCTATACACTTGACTTGTCCATTTTTGGGATTTAAAGTCAGCAAATGCTGTAACGAGAGGGTTTCTAAGTATGTGGATATTCCCATGGATTAAATAGTTTTTTATAAAATCAAGATTTGATGTTGTATGTCCACCATATGAATTCCCCATACAAGCCAAGCGTAATCTCACGACCCATACCATGCTTTTTTGTCACATTTTTCCAATTATTGATCTTTTGTTCATGTGTGTTTTTTTTAGTATTTTTTTTATATCCTGATAAAATCTGAAAGACATCAACATATAATAATAATCCAAAAGGCATGTGAGAGTCGACGAAAACTTCCAATTTTTTCTCAATGATTTTCTAGATATATGAAAATAATTCATGTACTTGTGCTAAAATAATAGCATCCACGTATACGATGTCAGGATCTATCCGAATTCGTCTATATGAGATTTTGTTAGTTTTTGATATAGATAACTAGATAGTGGTCAAAAGAACCTGCAGCTTAATGGTTAGAAGAACTTCGGCTAAAACTTTTTTACTATTCCGGCAACATAAATGCCGAATCATAAAGAGAATGGTGATGTGTTGGTCCTAATCCTACAAAAACTAGGATTTCACTGCAACTTATAAATATGGAACGTAGAAAAACAAGAAACCATCAAACCATTCTGTGTGTTATCTAGTTATTATCCGTTTCACGTTTAAACTGCAATTCCCGGATCCAATAGAGACATATAGGCCCATAAGTCTCAACAATGCAATTGCTCCTAAAGCCCAATACTGATCCATGATTACTTTCATTTTGCAACCTTTTGTTAATTTTTAACCCTACCACAATGTGTGTGATAAATATAATTACGCTACCCGTTTATACTTTTTGGTTTATATTGTTATAGTAGTTTAAAATTATGAGTTACATCTTCCTCTGATTTCTTGACAGCTAGCAATACGCTTTTTATTTTTCCAAGGACTAATTATAAATTTAAACACGAAAAAGCTAATCCTACCTACACATAATTTATTGACAAGTTTAATGGTCCCCAAATATTAATGAACTTAATTTAGCGTCATTAGCTAAACCACTAATCACTTTTTATGCAAATTTATCTGTCTTCAAGTAGTAACACAGTTTTATAATTAAGAAATAACGAAGATACTAATAAATGTATTTTTCTTAACATCGAAGATATTAATAAATATCTTTGGTACAAATGTTATACAGCATGGTATCTTAGATATTTTCAATGGGACAAAAGAAGATTAAAGATATTCGTATTATTATTATCCAAAGTATTTGCACTTTAAATACTTATAATCTAAAGGCTATGGTACGGTAGGAAGAAGTTTTAAAAGTTCTACCAAAATATTGTTGGCCATATATAAAAATACGGTAAATTAAAATGAGTGTTTTCTCTCTACCGACCAGCCAATAGGTCAATTCTTTCTATTTTTATATGTAAACAAATTAATCAGCATTTCACTAATAAACGACAGTACTGTAGATAGAGTCATTATAGATATACTAATGTAGTTAATTAATTATGGCATGCACGTAGCATTTTGTTTTTGTCAAACACGCAACTTAATTGTCTAATGTTTATACCTTCACTTGTATTTATTATTCTGATTTGGTAATAACACGAAATAACAAATCATATTATTAAAACAGTATATCAAATAGAATGATATTAAAATATAACATTTTCATATTTTATTATTAAAATAAAGAAATAATTGATGAAAATGCCGTGATCCAATAGATTATTTGCGGTGCACATATGCAATATTTACTTCGTGATTATCATCTCTTCTAATAATTGTGTATCATTTACTTTTTTTGTTTTTACATTTGATTTGATTTTTTTTTCTTCAAATTATTCTTTCATACATGTAATTTTTCCGACTACAACAATTAGAAAGAATGAAATATTCTCTTTGATCAAAATATAATTTGAAAAAGATAAAGCACAAAATAATTAGAAGAAAAAATTACATGTATGAAAGAATAGTTTGAAGAAAAAAATACATTTATTAGTATTAATAGATCTTAATAAAAATCTTTAGAGAAAACTAACAGTGGATCTAACAAAACTCAGATGTGTCGATTAAGAATTCCTAGTAAAATTATTATTAATTTTTTTTTTTTATAAAGAGTTTTTCCTAGTAAAATTAGAAGGCTAAATCATCTTAAAATTGAGAAGTTGATAAACACTCGTACCTCTAATATTGATGAAATGAATTCAGTAAAGAAGTTGACGAAGATTTTCGATGATGAATCTAGAAAATTATCATCTCTCGAGAGATACATAAGTATAATTAATACTGTATGTAATACCGTACGACTGAGATACACTCCTACCTATAATCAAATTTTAATAGTAATGCCGCGTTATTTTTACCAAACCCCTGCCCCCTTGCGATGTCTTAAATCCCATATTCTAGGAATCTCGATTGTATATACCCGAATCTTTGTCTTTCTTCACCGGCAAAACTTTTATAATGTTTGTTTAATCACCCTGACTATTTGCGTTCCAAAAGGGATTAACTAATCAAAATAGAAACAGCAGTTAAAAATTTAAAAGTTACAGTGATGAGTTTATAATTCAATCAAAATAAAATATATTTGTTTTTTTTTTCTTATCCCAATCCACGAGATGATGAAATTTTTGTCCACCTGTTGCCATTTGCCAAAACATTAAATAATTGAGCTCCATATGATTTTACAATTTTATATATTGTCTATAAATTTATAAAGAAAAATTATAACTATGACATATGCGTCTATTATAGATATAGTTCTACGAAGTTCTTATACTACATAAACGTAGGCCCCAAAACAATATAATACAAATTCTTATTCGATCATCTATTTTTTCTTGTAAAAAACTAGCTATTGTATCTCATTATACAAAGTTTAATAGGTGGTCGCGAGCTTTTATATAAAAATATCAGATTTAAATTTAGAATTCATTACTAGCTTAACTGAAAAAAAAGACCGCTAAACTTCTACTCAATCTCCTTTATATAAAATGATAGATTTTTAGGCTTTTAAGGACTGCCACATCATCAAAAATAATTAATCAATGATAGATTTCAAAACTGTTATGTGATCTTCTTCAACCAATAACTTAAAACTATTTCACTAAATAATTTATTAATCAAAATTTCCTCAAATTTTACGTTCAATTTTTTTTTATAATTTTTAAATTCTCAATAAAATAAAATAAAAAACAAAGCTAAAAAAAACTGAAAACGAATTACACTAAAACTCAATTATAAAGCTTAAACAAAAGCTCATTTTATGGAGTCATCGTTTTTTTGGTTTCCAATCATTTCGCATCTGACTCACCAGAAACGGAATTAGCCGTCACTAAACACAAATTTTACTTTTTAATTAATGACAACCAAACTGGTAATAAACAATAAAACTTAAACAAATGGAGCATAAACATTTAGAAATCCAAAAACATAGCAATGAAGATGTCAAAAAAAAGACATAGCTTAGTAAATTTGTACTCGCCAGTTTATCACAAATGAAGTCTAATAAAATAACGTTGGATGAAACTTGATTAAAGTTTACTATTACTAGATTAGTAAATTGTACTCGCCAGTTTCTTATATAAACTATAGAATTTTAAGCGCGTCGTGTGTAGGCGTATACAATCATATAATACATTATATATATTATGCAGTCTTTGACGAGTCACCATCGAGAATGGTTGGATCCAATTGGACATATATGGTTTTTGTGGCTGCACTACTATAAGTGCAAGTTCCATACCCAACTTTAGTTTTCATGCAACTTGCTCAACAATAATATCACAATGATACAATTGTTTATTTAATCGTGTAACAATGTCTTTTTCTTAAATTAAGAATTTGCATCCGTTATATTAATAAACAATTGTATTGAATAACAAACGTAATTATTTTTTGGTATTACAATGAGTCTTAATTTGCTATAATTCCTTTGAAAAACAAACGGAATTATATACCCTATTTAATACATATTGCTTGATTATAAAACTTAAGAGAAGTTATCTAAACTACCATTTTTGTTTTATTTTCCAAAAACACTATTTAAAATCATTGAAAACCACTTGCTTACCGCTAAAAGTGTTCAAAATCTAAACTTATATCAAAAATATTTTTAAAATACAATTTGCTGACCCGAAAATGAGTACGGGATCAAAGATCCAAGTTACATCTTCAAACCATTTAGTATGACAATAAATTTCTACCACAATTTACAGTTAAGATCCTACGCATGAAACTGCTCGGCGGTTGGGGGTGGGGAGATGAAATCAAATGCAATTTCTCAATTATAATGGAGCCATTAAAACAAGTTAGAGGGAACAATAGAAACTGTCGAGACTCGAGAACGTCGCTCTAATCTCGAACCAAGTAAGATTAATTGACCGGTAATGCAAATGGAGACGAGATGTTGGCAGCACCATCGATCGTGATGGGAGCCGAAAAGAGATATACGGAAGATAGAGAAGGCGCGGGGTTTCTACGAACCGACCAAGAGGGAGCATTGCATCGCATACGCCCGTATGTTGTTATATTTACGTTCATATAGTTTAGATTCAAAAGTAAAAAAAGTGTTGAAAAGAAATGACTGTAGAATATATTTGCAAGAAATAAATGCATCTAGCTTAGTTCTTGTTCTTGTTCATTTTAGGTTAGGTTGGATACTGTTGCAGCATCATGTGCTTTTATGTAATATGATTTTTAAAGTCATACATACCATACATTTATGGGGGACCCATATATAAAAACTTTAATATAATTAAACTGATGTTTATATACAAGTAAGTTACAACAGGCCACCAGATTAATACGACGAATATTTTGCAATGTCACCACTAGCATTTGTTGGTGGATTAACTAGCTCGTTAAAATTAGAAGCTGAGTAAGTAGAAAATTAATTCAAATTACAGTATATATCGAAATTAATATATCTAACCTTCTGAATAAAAAAATGTAGCGGTTCTAATTATATACGAATATTTAAAACAATAAGCGGTCCACGATGATTAGACCGACCATAAAGTGACGATCTGAGAAATTTTAGATACATCGATATGATTCAAAGACCAAACTAGCCACAATTCTATATCTATCGGAAAACAATACGGTGTCAGGTTTTGTAAATTACAAGTTGGCTCTTGTCCTTTTATTATTCAAAACTAATTAAACTAAATCGTCAATCTTTTTTTTTTTTTTAAGTATCGTTCTCAAAGCTTAGTTGTAAATTAATAAGAGGACAAAAAAACGAATGGTTTAAAACTATTTAGTGTGGGAATTAAGGACGTATATAATGCAATTAACGTGGGTTGATGTCTTAGCAGACCAACTACCAGTAATAATAACTAACCAATCATCAACCTTCAATTCATAAATTTTTAAAATAGCTTAATAATATCGACTGACCAATAATTAAACTATTATGATATAATTATACTAATATAATTATCGCCCACGTCAGAATTTCACCTCTTTCTCTCCGGCTTTGCATGGATTTTTCTTTCTCCTTATCTCCCTCCCTCCCTCCCTCCTTATTTCCTGTCCAATTTCACATCTCTCTTGTTTTTGATCTCTTTCTCTATTTCTCTCTCTCTATTTCACTTTCTTTTGTTATGCTTGGAAACTACAGAGAAGTGAGTAATCTGATATTCAATACCTAAATCGAATTGATTGATCAAATTGCACGCGCATGACTCATTCTTGTTCTCTCTTGATCATTATTATATATATACAATAAGGTTATGTGGCCGAGACTTGTGGCCAACAAGATCCTAAGGAAAAGCGTTGGGAGCAACAGCTTCGTTGCAGATTTTCCACCAGATGCTGATCAGAAGCTTCTCGAGGCTTCTGGATTAGTCGATGAACGACTTGCTTTCAACTCTAAATCCATCTTCTTCAATCAAAACAACAACACCACTCATCTCAACTACAAGTAACATATACAACTTTATTTACTTCCTTTTTCCATAAAAGCGTACGTATAGCATATGCATACCTAATTAATTAAAAAATGGTTCGTAAAAATGTTTCTCTTTATATATATATATATATATATATTGTTATATTTCAAACCGAGACAAGAACGGATCACAAGAATTTCCGATATTATTGATACAAGCTTCATAATCAAAATTTTGATTCGAGGGCACTTGAAAAACGTTAGCCAGCATATAATTAACAACATATGGGTGATAAACCCTTAATCTCTATCCCTTGCGCTTCATGAACTTACAACTTTACAAATCGTATAAATAATGTTAGTAAATAATTTGAAAGTGAAAATTTATTTATGTTTTTAGGGTTTTTGTAAGCACATGGAACGTTGGTGGCATCGTTCCGGACGATGGATTTGACATGGAGGATCTCTTGGAAACGCAAAAAAACCCATGCGATATATATGTGCTCGGGTAATTAATTAAACATTATAGTGTATAAGTATAATTTAGTGATTTGTTTGTTTTGAACTTTTATTGAGTTGTATAATATGTACATAGGTTTCAAGAAATTGTGCCTCTCCGAGCTTCGAATGTATTGGGATCAGATAACAACAAGGTCTGTACGAAATGGAACTCGCTGATAAGAGAGACTTTGAACAAGAGAGTGGCCACTAGTGATCATAGGGACAAGGGCATTAATGGTGTTTCACAAGATTTCAAGTGTATCGTAAGTAAACAGATGGTCGGAGTCTTGATCACTGTTTGGGTCCGAAGTGATCTCCGGCTGTACATCCGTCATCCTAGCGTCTCCTGTGTTGGATGCGGCATTATGGGTTGCTTGGGAAACAAGGTAACTACTTTAACACTCTTCTTCTTTTTTTTTTTCTATTCTTTTTTCAAATCTCACTTTAATATTTATATATATCGATTTAGGTGTTGACTGTTGATAGAAAATAGTTACGTTTGCTATTATGTTCGTGGTTGTATTTATATTTGATTTTTATAATTTGCGGTCGTGGTTGAACCTGTATATATTATAAAATATAAATACAATTATGTATACTTATTTTACTTTTATATTTGTATATATATAGCTGTATATAAAAATAAAAACAATTAACTAACCTACGTGATTCTAAGATGACCACAAATTTGAAGTTTACGAAACGTTTCTAGAAGTTTAGAAATTAGTATTAGATGGTTGAGGAGCGCTTACTAAACTTATAAAAACGTTCATGTGTTGTATTTTTGTAACTAAAGCCCTTTTTATAAGCATGGATTTTCTCAATGTGAGAACTTTTCTTCCGCTTCTGAAAGTAGTAAAGAATACTTGCAAGAGGAAAATGGAAAATATAGAGTTACAATATACAGTATTTGAGAATATATATATATATATATATACTTGCATGCATGCATTTACTGTTTACAAATTGGATAAGCAAGATTTAAAATGCTTGGCTTGTATTTAATTATCAGGGATCAGTATCGGTTAGATTTCAGTTGCACGAGACGACCTTCTGCTTCGTGTGCAGCCATCTAGCTTCCGGTGGCCGTGACCGAGATGAAAGGCAAAGAAACTCCGATGTCACGGAGATTTTGGCAAGGTCGAGTTTTCCTAAAGGCACACCTTTAGAAGAATTGCCGAAAAAAATACTTGATCACGAGTAAGTTTACATACTCTAATTAATTATACATATATATAATATTAAAGTAAAGTTATTAGCATTCTATAACACAGCTTCCTAATTTACTCTTCTTGGATATGTTTTTATTATTTCCTACCGTATGCGTTCATATTCAGATAACATTAGATTTGGAGTAGTAGTAAAACAATATTTTTCCAACTTGTTAGTAGTTAAATGGTTATGGTCAGACCATTACTGCTTAATACTATAGTTTAAGCAAGTTGACAGGTTAATTTTAATAAGTCTTGATATTACGGAAAAGGCTAGTTTGGTTAGTTAGTTGTTAAAAACTATCAACTTGTGATCTTTATTATTTATACTATTTAATTGACTATATGGTTTTGTTTTCTTTATGTTGGAACAAATTATAAAAACAGCCGAGTGATTTTTCTGGGAGATTTGAATTATAGAATTTCTCTACCTGAGGAGAAGACAAGATTATTGGTGGAACGAAAAGAATGGAACACTTTACTCGAAAATGATCAGGTAATAATTGATTATATATAAATTTCTTAACTAGATTAATTTCACAGAAATGGTAAAAAGTTGTGAACTCACCAATATTTCTAAATTTATTATGAATTTAAGCTAAGTATGGAGATCATGAACGGCCAAATTTTCAGTGGTTGGCAAGAGGGAAATGTCAAATTTGCACCAACGTATAAATACATTCCAAATTCAGATTTATATTATGGATGCATTGCATACAAAAAAGACGAGAAAAAAAGAGCTCCTGCATGGTGAGTATCGTATGTAATTTACATATTTTCTCATTTCTGCTATAGTTTTTGGTGTTATATATTTGCTTACATTTTTTATATTAAATAGGTGTGATCGAATAATATGGTATGGTAATGGATTGAAGCAACATGAATATACAAGAGGAGAAGTGAAGATATCTGATCACAGACCTGTCAAAGCAATCTTTACCACAGAAGTTAAAATTTTACGACATAGTAAAAAAATTCGTCATCTCTTTTTCTCAGACAGATTTGAAGACAGAATTGATGGATACGATCAAATAGACTCGAAAGACTACTCGTGGGTTTCTACGTGATTTTATTAAATTGGGATGAAATATCGTTGTTCGTATATATAGTATATACCCCATTATAATTATAGGGTTTTTACAAAAACAAATTAAAGTCATATGTATATAGAGAGTGTTTGTCGATATAGATTATAATTTTTATGATAAAAATATGTTTTGTGAAACACTGACTAAATATAACAATATCTTGGCGAGAAGTGAGAGTTGTATGTTAAATATGATTCATAAGTTACGAAGTATGCTGAGGGGTTTACCATTCATGTATTAAATAAATATGTTTATGGAGCTCAACAACTCTATATATTCAGAGATTAAAATTCAAATTTTGTATAACTTATTATACTCAAGGGTATTTGGAGGATGACTCCATGCATGCAATACCATTAGTAAATGACAAAGTCGTAAACCGTGACGAAATTCATTAGTGATACAAAAACTGAAATTTCTTACCAAAAAAGAAAGATTTTGGTGATAGGATCCGATCGATATGATGTTGTTAAATTGGCAATTTTTGTAAAACATAATAAAAATAAGTTCTTTAGCAAAAAGTCATTTCAAAAGCTAAATTTTGAATTAAAAAATATTCACATAATAATTTACTAACACTACTAAAAACATACAAAAAGTTGATAATCACTTTTCCTAACTCTTGAGAGTATCATGAGTTCGAGTTTCGGCTAGGAAAAAACTGGTTTACGCCATAATAATGAAATAAATTAGTAGATTATACGTATACTAATGTTTGGTTTCGGGTTGAAGGAAAGAAATTATAAGCAGAAATTCGAATTCGTTGTTAACGACTAAAAATGTAGTATGTCGTTACACGAAAAGTATAAAAAGATTATACGTATTTAGACGTACGATACATGGCACACGACGACTATGAATGAATGGACAAGCCATATGGCTTATTTGGCGTTATGTACGTAGTGGAAAAAGAACAATTGGGTATTTTTTAATAATAATAATATGAGATCAATAAAAGTATAAAACAAATCTTATCTATTTGATATTTTTCGTAAAAGGAAGAGATATGGTTCGGTTTAATTATAATGGCAAGTGGTTTTTAGTAAATGCATTGGTTGTTGTCGTTTGTATTCCTCCCACATTATAGTTGTTGAAATAGGATAATATCAAATTATGTGTACTGAGTGAATTTTTAAACATTTAAACGGGAAAATTACAAATACAAAAATATCTCATTTCCAATAAACAAATCAAGGTTACCAATAATAAAAAGAGCAAACAAAACAATCTTTGTCCGGAAAATTGGGAATAGAAAAACAAAAAAGTACCCCATAACCAATAAGTAAACGATACAGTATAGTATTTGTTTTCTATACTATTCAGTATTAACGAATCCGTAACGCATATACTACTACTTGCGATTTTTTTAAGAAAACCTTAGATTGTGCTACATGATAATGGGCCAAGGCCCATCTCAGGCTCATATCGAAAGAATGATAGATATTAAAACATTTTAAAACGAAAGTTTCGGAGTTTTCGAGTTTCGGCGCCATTAAGACGTTTCAAAATTTCACCGAGAGCTCCAAAATCAGGGAGAGATGTCTACAGAGATCGCTCATCTGCGAAGGAGGTTGGTCGAATTTCTGATTCAGAGTACAACTGTAAGCTGATCTTCTTCTCGATCGATATCTCTATTAGGTTTTCGTTTCACTTCGTCTCTCCTGATTTTTAATATTTTTCCGGCGGATGAAAGCAACTCAAACTTCCTCCGATCGTTAAATACTCATCTCTATCGCTCTTTTTCGATCGGTTTCGTCCTTGTGTAGTAAGGTATTTGCGATTATCCTCCTCTGATGTTTCCTGATTTTGAGAATTTTCTGTGAAGTTCGATTGTTTATTTAGGGTAATAATGAAGAAATCAGTAAACAATCTAGCTCTAATTGCTCTTTTACGTTTCGGATTTAGATTTAGTGCTTGGTTTCTGAGGATTTATGGCTTACCGATGCAAATGAGTTTTTGACTGCCTCATTGATGGATAATCACACTCTCCAGATTCTGAATCGAATCTTTTTTTTGTTGGATTTTGTATAGAATATAGGCATCATGTCATTTTGTTTGATTTTTCCTCGGTAAAATCCAGCTCGAATTGCTCGTTCTCTTTGCTTCTGATGGGATTACGTTTCGGATTTTTAGATTAAGTGTTTGGGTTCTGATGGTTGATGGCTTAACGACGCAAATGAGTTTTTGACTGCCTTATTGATGGATAATCACAATCTCCAGATTATTATGCTTTGAATCGAATCATTTCTTAAAGGATTTTGTATAGAATATATAGGCTTTTGTCATTCTTCCTCGGATGTCTCTCGGAAGCTTCTTGATCCTTTGGTCTGTAGGTTTTTACAGAAAAAGAAAGCACAACATTGGCTGTTGCAGCCATTGACAGAGAGCAATCTGCAGCTATTTGTGTTAATCTCCATATGGATCTCATGCAAAGTGAGTCCACTTCTTTACTTCTTTACTTCATGCAAAGTGTTTTTGTGTGCTCCTCTTCTTCTATGTACTGAGTTGTTATTTCTGAAGATGCACTGTTCTCGAGGATTATCGGTTCAGAGTATGAAATCTTTGGGTGATAAAGTGATTACAGAGCAACTCTTCACTGTTGGGGATTTCCTGGAAGCAGTAAGCTACTCTTGAAAGTCTTGAAATTGTGACTGAAAACTTGTTAGATGTTTTTAAGTTTTTTTTTACTGAGTTTTAAGGTTCTTTTGCAGGAGCTAGTTTTCCTGAAGGTAACCCATTCTACATTTGGTGATGATGTTTATACGCTGTAGAAGTCCAATCAAACTTATTTCTGCCTTCCTAACATGAGAAGCAGGTTCTGAGATTTGAGATTGGCACTTTAAATATAGCTTATACACTGCTTGAAGACCTTTTTATTCAGTTCAAGTAAGTTGGTTTACAACTAATATATTTGAATGATATCGTGTTTAGTCCGTGTTTGCATTATCTAATCCCTAAACCATATTGTCTTCTACTAGAGAAGTTGCAAAAGTGGGAGAACTGTTGAACTTTGAAGCATGTATGGACATGATGGATCTTCTCTATGAGAAGGAGGAGACATCAGTTCTATATCAATCTTCAACATCTTTGGCTGTTTCCATTTTGGTTACTTAATTGCTCTTCATTTTCTTTTGTTTATAAATGATATAAACATTTCTCTGAATAGACATCAAAATGAAATTAATTTGTGTTCTTCTCTTAAACAACAGGTCTCTTCTTACATAATAACCGTGCCGAAACAGCATTGGGAGTTCCCTATCCTCCCATGGGGTAAGCATTCATCTTTCAGCTTCTTCCATCAAAGGCATTTTTATAATTAAAATTATCAATTAATAAATTTATAATAATAAAGTCATAGGATGTTGATTTAGTCAGAAACAGTTTAATGCATATAGGATCACTAAGGCCTAAAGAAAGAGTACATTGTTGTTCCCACTTCAAGTCTTCTTCATCTTTCCCCTTAGACCTGGACATTGTTTGTTCCTCAACTTAATATTAGTAATTATGATTATGAGCCATCAATGTTGACTTCTTGAGGTCTGACCACCGGCCATATACGGTTTACGGATCAATCAAATCTTTTTTTGTGGTCCTTCACAGTTTGCTAAACCTAACATATCTCCGGTCCGTGCCACTCAAATACTGTACCGGACCGTATAGATATAGAGACAGTAATAGTATAAGTCACTAGTCAACCGTCAGCATTTCCTTTTTCCCATTGAAGAAACGAAAGGAAACCTCATTTTCATGGAGTTATAGCTGTAATACACTCACACACACACACACAAGAAGAAAGAAAGAAGAAAAGTCTATTTTTTTTTAATTTATTTCATAGGGTCCCTCTCCAAAATTTATTCTTCTTCATTTATGAAGTCTACACTACATTGTCTGAAATTTTTCTTTCTCTATATACCCTTTTCCAGTTTTCATTTATCACGGTAACAAACAGGATCTCTTTCACCAATACCAATTTCTAGAAGAGACGATTTATGTCTAAATCTTTCACCTACTCTTTTTTTAAATATACACATGTACATGTAGATCCATGTGGTCTGAGTCTTCACTATAAAGTTAAAAATGTTAGGCCTATCTTATTTTTAGGGACCATTGTAGAAAACTAGAAAGAAGTAGAGTGAGGTTTCTAAGGTTAGGAGAGGGTAGGCACTAGACATAGTTTTATTCTGCTTCTGTGTTACATGACTCTGTTATATGTATTGATGACTATAATAAGATAAGACAACAAATATTTAAGACTTACAGGCAATGATGCTCTTAATTCTTATGAGTAGGGAGGGGATACATAAATTGTTTATTCATTAATATTATAGGACCCTACTTCGACCTACCATTTTCATTATAAGTAAATTATATATAAAAGAAATGTGTTTTTATCAAGGTGCTGTGAAATAACAACTTTATCAAAATTCAAATACTTCTGAATTTTTTTTGTTACCAAAAAGTACTTCTGAAACTTTGCAATAAATGAGAAACTTTGAGTTTATAAGTTAGTGTTAGGGTTTTAGGTTTTGGAATATTGATAACAAAATTATCTATGATAACAACAAATTTTAAAAAGTTTTCATTTCCATGATACTATTGTACTTTTATTTCCGTAAAAATCTGTTTTATTTTCGATTATTATATCATTTTAATGTTTGCTTAAATTTTTGGAGGGTTATGCATACCAAAGATGTTTGTTGAGTTATGAGTAGTTTCCAAGGAGTCTCTTTAGAAATCTTTTTTATATGATTATGAATTGTTTTTGGCAGTTAAAATGGTGACAAATAAGGAAGAAAAGGAAGTGGTGGAGCTTGTTGGATACATACTTGCTCATGTCCTTTACTCTCACCCTTCCTAACTCCTTAAACCCTACAGGTACACGCATCTCTCTAGTTCCTTCTTATCTACTTCTTTTCGTAAGCACAACTACAATAAAATAAAGTATGTACAGATATATATATATATATATATATATGACGATATAAGGACATGTAGGGTCTATACACGCACACAATATACACATCAGATATGCATTTTCCTACTTTTAACATTTAATTTTCTTATATACTAGATCGGAATATGTAAATTCCGTTCACTTTTTTGACCTTTCATATTGTGAAATAGTAGAATAGTAAAACAAAACGAAAAGGTTGCTAAAATTATAGAGTTATTAAGCGGAATAAAAACTTTAAGTTAAACTGTAGGATGAACAAATCGCAATTTTGCACAATTATGTAATTGGTCAAATATTGCGGACTTGCATACATATACGGATAGATCGATCTATATACATAATACATGTGGATCTATGATATGCTTCACAAGGCAGTGACGGTTGCGGTTCGACATACCAAGCATGTGATTTATTAGATCCACTTCAAACCATTTGAAATATTTTCACCTACATAAATGTGCTAATTTATGATATCTCCTAAATGATATTGGTACTTTAACTCTGAATATTTGTCCCTACTGTACCACATTAGGTTTTGTCTTCTCCAAAGTCCAAATATCCTCTAATAGTTTGTATCACTATTTAACTGTTAAATCTCACCAACATAGAGACAGATAACAAATGTTGACAAAAGAAAAGACAAAAATTTGTGGAAATAAAGAGAGAAGTAACTGATTTCACTTGGCATTTATAGATTTTTGTTTGTAAGCTTTCTCTGAAGGAATCCTAACTTCACAGTAATATTACTAGTTTACTACCACGCAAAAGTGAGCTGTGCCATAACAAAACTTGTGAATAAAATAACTATTTGACCTTTCCAATTTGGAATTTTTTTTGAATTTAGTGTTATTTGATTTTCAAACAACCAATAATTCAGAATTGGTTGAGTTGTGAATTGGGTGTGCCACATTGATTATCAAATCCAACCACTAGATAAAGTATATGATTAGATGGAATGATTAGACACTTAATCCCAGTAGCATCCTAAGGGTTCTAAGCACCTTATTATAGTGATTTAATACCTCTTTTTACAGTATTAAATCTCATCAATTTTGTTTTGATAATTACTACATACATTCTTTTTGCTTTTATTTCATGATAGAATTATTATATCTAACGAATAATGTGATTAACTACTAGTTATCATTTCTTTTATGATGGGAATTATTAAAAGTGATAATGTTTCTTCATAATCGTATCACGACTGTATCCAGCACGACGTTGACTTTTAATATTCAGTCTCCCACACATGCGGTATTAAATTGGGCGATACAGCAGAAAAACAAATACTAGTACTATTTTGGTAAAAGTTGTTAGTTTATGTGTTGATATTGTTTTATTGTAACCCAAAATATATTATTGGGAGACGTATATGTTGAATGTTAACTACTCCCAGTATTATTAAATATACTTAATGATAGAAAAGAATGCTTCATAAAATTTCTTTAAGTTGTTGCTAATAATAGGTCTTAACTCTTAAGGTTATTCTATAATATGCGTGGCCGTATTAGAGATCATATAACTCCACCCAAAATTGAACCGATTCTACTTGTCTTTTTCTGCCCTTCTTCTAACCCCACCCTTAGATGTTTATGTGTTTTTTAATTTAAACAAACAAAGATAATGAGCATACCTTTTTATAAACCGTAACTATGTGTCTATAAAGTTTATTAGCAAGAGGTCGGCATGGAGTGTGATTCATCATGCTCAATTAAACAAACAAACAAAAACACAAATTATACACTAAATTCTCTAAAAATAGGTGTTGACATTTTTTTACTAGTAATTCTCAAAAACTTTATTGGCTACAACTATGTTCAATTATGATATTTATTTTAGTGTTTTTTTTCTTCTATATGTAGTAAGTAGGCTATATAAACGATCAATTAGTAGGTTATATTCAAACCATTAAAAAAAACACTAATGGTTACAAAAAAATTGCCGTTGAGTGTATGGTAAAGTGACATTAGTAAATCTGAGTACTACTTGTTAGTTGTAAATATATAAATATATTTGGTAAAAGAAATCAAATATATAAATATATAATGATATGCAGCTTGATTAGTTGGTAAGGAGAGCAATAATAATGTTTGGATGGGAATGGGATACTAACATCATTTGCTGATTAAAAATTTAAGAAGAGACTTCTACACAATCTTGGTGTGGTGAAGAGCTGCAATGAGTGACCACACTCTTTTGATTAGACCAAATTAGCATCTTTCTTGTTATCAAGGGGGTACGTATAATATCGTTATCGTCTTTAATTAATCATCAGAGTGCAATACACTTACAATCAAATACTTGTCCTCCTCATCTATAGTATCTTTTCTTCCCATGGTTATTGTTTTGGGTGTTATAAAGTTTATGCAATTACTGTAGTAGATTGTAACATCTTTGATCAGGACATTATTTATGACACAGATATAATTATTTCAACCAATTGGCGAAAATTATCTACAGTCCGTAATATTTGAATTTGAATACAGTGTTTCTGCTACATTTGAAATATAGAAGATACAATAAATACATACGTATGTCTACGTACTCTTTTATAAAAAGCAAATGTATGTCTACATACTTATTTCTATGCATTGTTTTAAAGCGGCTGTGTAGGTGTGTGTGGACGTTTGGATAGGCAGACAAAATCACTCGTTTTTATGAAAAAAGTATTTTAACATCATATCTTAAACTTTTACATTAAAAAACTAAAATAAGTACTACTGACAACAAATCTCTGATTAATTATTACGTGTTAGCCTCTCTCTAATAGAGAGCGTATTAGAGTTTTCAAACATTGCTTTTTTGCATGCAATTTTATATTATGCATAATTTTATAATTTTGTCGAGCTTCTTTTGACATCACATATTGTCTACCTACTTTGCTAAAGAAATCAGCTAGTCGAATTTTTTTTTTTATAAACATACATATATTCAGAAAAAAAATACTAATAGATGATAAAAAATTTCAGTATAAGAATAGTTTATTTTTGACAGTAAAGAAAATTTTATCGTAAAGTTTACACTTCACCGTCAAAACACAGCTACTTATGTCAGTGACTCTTCTTCTATCACCACTACACGACAAAAACAGTAACACACTCTCTCATAACTCGCGTGTCTCTCATCCTTCAGTTTTTATTGGAACGTAACCTACACGCGCTACCAAATTCCCACGCGCTTATCGTCTGGCACACTCACCCGCACCGTACCCGTCGTCGGTCTTTTCGCCCATCTAACGTATTTTTCCGTGAAAGAGAATAATACATATAATAAATATAACGTTATAAATGAATGATATCGAATAAATATACTAACACTGTAAAATTCGATTAAAAAGAAGCTCATTATTGTTTTTATTTTTTATTTTTTTTAACTCATCTCCGTTGTTGCTACCTGTTTCTTTCTCTCTGTTCATTCCCTTTTTTAGCCTAAATCAGCAAATATTATCTTTGTTCTCTACTTTGCTCTGTGTATGGTTTTTATTCTCTTCCAAAGTAATGAGTGCTTTGTATAGTTAATGATGTTTGTCTCCTCTTGAAGCTTCAGATCTGATTCTTGTTTCTGCAAGTAAATTGTGTTCTGTTTTTTTTTTTTTTTTTTTCTGTTCTTCAATTAAACACCATTTTTGTGAAACCAAAAAGCTATTTGCTTGCTTCAAGATTCTAATTTGCAGAATTTGAGAGTAATTAAGGGTTGAGGAAAAATCTGGTGGAAAAAATGCTGGAAATTGGAAGTTCCAATGCTCTCTTTTTCCGTACGAACACTACTTGTAATAATCTTCTCCGAGAGCTTCAGGTTTGTTCTTCTTCTTCTTTTTCTTTCTTTCAACTTGTTTTTTTTTCTTGGAAGTTTTTGGTTTATGGGAAATAAATCACTATTTTTATTTTACTTTCAAGGGTTAAAGGATGATTTCTTTTGGTCATAATGAGTTCTGGTAGAGACAATTTAACTGAATTTTAGTCTTTTGTTTTTCAAATATCTATTCGTTTCTAGGTCAAAGGGTTCCTGTGAATTTTGACTAAACATGCCTCTTTGTTTCTTTATTCTAGTCACCATCTCTGTTATATCTCAAAATTCTGGAAAATTCTCTTCTTTTTTTGTTGTTGTCTACATGTAACTGTTGATGTTCTTTGGTAAAAAGTTTTCATTTTACGAGCTCTTGTACTAATTTCATGAGTTAAATGGCTTTTATTTGGTGTATGAAACAGCAAATATGGGTTGAAATTGGTGAGAGTGAGGCTGAGAAAGACAAAATGCTGATGGAATTGGAGAGAGAATGTCTTCAAATCTATCAAAGAAAAGTTGACGAGGCTGCAAATTCTAAGGCACGGCTTCATCAGTCTGTTGCAGCTATAGAAGCTGAAGTTGCTTCTCTAATGGCTGCTCTTGGAGTATTAAACATCAACTCACCGGTACGATCCATCTTAACATCAGAGATGACTTCGATTGTGTGATTTAGCTACCAAATATATTGCTCATATTCAAAAAAAAATGTGTGTGTTTCTTGCGTTTTGATGCTCAGATAAAAGTGGACAAAGGCTCAAAATCGTTGAAAGAAAAGCTTGCGGCTGTGACGCCTCTTGTTGAGGATTTGAGAATTCAAAAAGAGGAGAGAATGAAGCAGTTTTCGGATATAAAGGCGCAAATTGAGAAGATCAGTGGAGAAATCTCAGGATACAGTGACCATCTCAACAAAACCATGATCAGTTCCTTGACTCTTGAAGAACAAGACTTGACTCTGAGGAAACTCAACGAGTATCAAGCACATCTCCGCACGCTTCAAAAGCAAAAGGTGAAGTTTTTATTAACAACAAATCTTCATCAAAGCTCTTCTTTACAAACCTGCTTATGTTTTTTCAACATGCAGTCTGATCGGCTCAACAAAGTCTTGGGTTATGTCAACGAGGCGCACACACTGTGCGGTGTTCTGGGAGTTGACTTTAGTCAAACTGTCTGTGAGGTTCATCCGAGCTTGCATAGGACAGACCACGAGCAGTCCACAAACATTAGTGATAGCACATTGGAGGGACTTGAGCACATGATTCAGAAGCTAAAAACTGAAAGAAGAGCCAGGTTTCAAAAGGTAGACATGTTCTTGCACATTACTATTCTTCTTTTTTCACATTTATCATTTAGTGATCTCTCGTTCTTTCGAAAATGTGCAGCTGAAGGATGTAGTGGCTTCGCTTTTCGAGCTATGGAATCTAATGGACACACCACAGGAAGAGAGGACTAAATTTGGAAGAGTTACATATTTCGTAAGATCATCTGACTCTAACATCACTGAGCCAGGCATCCTTTCAACGGAGACAATTGAACAGGTTTTGTATAATCTCTTCTCTTATAATATTCCACATTCATGTCTTAAAATCTCATTCTTGATCTGAAGTCTTTGTCTTTTTTCCTCTACGCTAGGTCTCTGCAGAAGTAGACTGTCTCAGTAAACTCAAAGCTACCAAAATGAAGGAGCTTGTGATGAAACGAAGGTCTGAGTTAGAGGATCTCTGCAGACTAACTCACATTCAACCCGATACAAGCACTTCAGCCGAGAAATCAAGTGCATTGATAGACTCCGGTAAAATTTGATTTTCAGCTCTTGGTTTTTGAGGTATACTTGCCTATTCCATTTGTTTTTAAGCCAAGCTTCTCCATGTTTCTTCAGGATTAGTGGACCCTTCAGAGCTTCTTGCAAATATCGAAATGCAGATAAACAAAATCAAAGACGAAGCACAGAGCCGAAAAGATATCATGGACAGGATCGACCGTTGGCTCTCCGCGTGTGAAGAGGAGAATTGGCTAGAAGAATATAACCTGGTATGAGAAACCCACAAAAGCAAAAAAAAAAAGATGGGAGTCTTTGAAGAATGTATAGTCTAAAGATTCGATCTTTGGGTTTCAGGATGAGAACCGGTATAGCGCAGGAAGAGGTGGACATGTAAACCTCAAACGTGCAGAACGAGCTAGGGTTACGATCAATAAGATCCCCTGTACGTTACACCTTCTCGCGTTTCACCAGTTTCCGATTGATTGAAATCGTATCTTAATTCCTCTGTTTGTTGTTCTCTGCTGCAGCGATGGTTGACAATCTTATCAAGAAGACGCAAGTATGGGAAAAGGAAACACATAAGTCGTTTCTATATGATGGTGTAAGTTTAACACTACTTAAAAAGTAAACGCAGAGAGAGAGAGACACATTTAACACACAAAGCCAAAGTCTTTTCTCTGATTCTTGTGACTACTTTCCTTCTATAGGTTCGATTGGTTAACATACTAGAAGACTATAAACTGACAAGGAAACAACAGGAAGAGGAGAAGAAAAGATACAGGGTTTGTCCTAAAACGCTCTCTTTTACAACTCTTTAAAGATTGTAATTCAATAATCGCTTTCCCTTATCCAATAATATACTTCTGCAGGATCAAAAGAAGAGGCAGGATCTTCTACTAACACAAAGGGAATCCATTTACGGATCAAAACCGAGTCCAAGAAGAAGCAGCAGCTTCAGAAAGCCGAGTGGCTACAGCATTAGCAATGGGAATGGTTCAGTGCCTCCCACGCCTCGTAGAAGCTCAACGCCTGACGTTCTTCTGACCCCGAGATCTTACTCGGGCCATCCTCGCCAAAACGGATATTTCAAAGACGTTAGGAGTCGAGTCACTTCAACTCCGTTAAACTTTGTGGCTATACAAAAGGAAGATACAGTTTCTACTACCTACACATCGATATATAGCTCTGAGCCAGACTCGCCTCTCCAAGGCTGACTTGACTCTCTTTTGCACCGGTAAGAGAGGAAAAAAGATCGAAACTTTAAGCATCAACATGCCCTTATTGCAGAATCCTCAAATGACTTGTGGTGAGTTCTACTTTTGTTTTGTGCAGATTGATGTTAGAAGTTTGGATCCGTGGTGCAGGACTTGTGAAGTTAATCTTAATAATGATGTTATGGTAAAGAAGAAAGCAAGTGAAGAAGTTGCAGAGTTGTGAATACAAAAGTTGACTTGACTTTTAGGAGATATGTTGGGGAGAGACAGAGTATAAAATAAAAATAAATCTGTTATTTTTTAGAGATTTTACAAGTTTTCTCTTTTTAATCTTCCAGTGAGAAATACTATTTTTTGTGTAATGGTCGTGTGAAAGTGAGTATGCTCTTTGTTGTGTGTATGTGTATTTGTGTATTTGTGTATATATATACGTATTTGTTTTGTTGGATTGCAGGTAAATTGTGTTGTTGATATACTCACAACTTATACCACTTGATATGTTGCCCTACAAATATTTCATTACTTGGAAAAAGCGAGAATGAAATAAACTAGTGTAACTATGATTGTTATAACATTACATTGAAAATGAAACTTTGAAAGTTGCTCAAAAGTGGAATGATGGTTGATATAATGGAAAATGCGCAAAGGTATTCAAGGACATCACATAGCAGATAATAGTTGTCTTTAGATCATCATTGTTTCCGCGTGAAGATTATTACAACTTCTGCTTCACTAATATCATCAAATCATTAGTTCAATAATCGTGGAATCTTTATGGGTGTTGCTAGAAAAAAATCAAAGTTACATCACGCTTGCGATCATTTATGCAATGTTTGGAGTCGTTGGTATCCTAAAATCATTTTCCAAGAACTATTGTATAAAACCGTTTGTGGATTTGGTGAATAAACCAACCAAGCAACAAAACTTCATAAACAACTTGTTACGAGAAGTCCATATTCTGAATTCATATAGCATGGGCCATTAGAATAAGACTCGAAACCCAAATTTTTAACATTCGGCCACGCATTCACACACACGAAATTAAAAATCGTAACATTTTATAAGTTGTTAACCGAATCTGACCGTCCGGTTATCACCGGATCTTAATATAAAAAAAGTATACCGAAACCTTGGTACTACATAAAACGATCTACGTTACTCCCCGTTAAACCCAACAGAAACTAAGAATCAAATCGCCGGCGAAAAAGCACTCTCCGAGCGATTTATATCTCAACACAGACATCTGTTTGATGTTTCACGGCTCGAACTCGTGAACTTGCTGAAGAACTCGGAAGATTGTGACATTGGATCTTCGAGATGTGGTTTCGTCGTCATGAGACTGTAGATGCGATGTCGAAATCATAGATCTCGTGAAGAAACTGTTGTTTCCTTCGACGAACGAGTTGTGTCTCTTCCTTACGTTACGGACATGACGTGGCGGTGGATAAACCGGAGTTTCGCTGCTGGCTCTGTGTTTAACCCAATCCGGTTTTGTTTTTTCCGTTGAATTCTTCACAAATTAGATGGATTGCATCATGACACTTTTTAAACGAGAAGCTTTAGTGTTTAATTTCTATAAATAGGTTATGATTTCAAAACCAAAACTTACGTGGGTGAGAGAAGATGAGATTGGTACAGGACATTTAACCGGACGATCTTCTTCTTCCGGTTCAACCGGATGCTCAACCGGACAAAATTCGACGTCGAGCTGATTGTTTTCTTCATCGTATTCCATCATCACTGTCTCCTCATCCACAATCTCTGTTTTGACCTAAAGAAGTTCAAGAAAATAAGAAAACATAAAGCAAATGTTTTATTTTTTGCAATTTCAGTTAATAACGTGTTGAATTTCGTGAAGTGAATGAAATCAAAGGGTATCCATCAAAATTAGTAAGTAAAGAAAGATTTGATTAGGTAATAAAAAAAAAAAACTCACTGAGGAATCGAAGTCCATGAGCTTCGTGAAGATGGAGGAGATGAGAGAGGAATGTGAATGTGAGAGAGATTGTGTGTTATAAAGGGTAAGAAAAACAGAAGAGAAAAGTAAGGAGGTAAAAATAAATAAATAAAGTTGGTCTCGCAAATCGCATGAAAAGGAGGGATTTTTAACCCCACTGTGAAAAAAGATGTGAGGCAGAAAAAGATTCCTTAACCTCCCACTATTTTTCTTTTCTTTTTCTAGGTCCATTTTCATATAATGCAGATAAATGTATGGGTGGTAAAATTTTTGTATATATATATATATATATATACATTTTTTTATAATAGTAAATTGTGCCAAACTCCAAAACATGAAATGTGTGTAAACGGAATGTATAAATGGTATTATTTAAAACAAATAGCACAACTAGAACCCTAGCTATAGTAAAATATAGCTAATACTACAATTAACATAAACAAAAAAAAAAGTTACAATCAAATGCATACTTCAAAAGAATCAAGATTTGTATAAATACGATTAATTATGAACGTCTTTGTAATCGAAAAATGTCATTGTAATATATACGATTGTAAACGTCTTTGTAGTATAACTAAAAGTCTATCTTAATATCAAAGAGTCAAATATATAATTGCATATCAAAATCGATATGCATCTGTCTGTTATTTCTGGAGTTTATTTGTATCACTTTTTTTTTGTTTGAGGGTCTAAAAAGAGGATTCAAAGAACTACTATATATTATATACACTTTCTTGCTTTTAACAAAAGGAGATGCTATCTTTCTTTGAAAATCCGAACAATCTTTCGCTTTGTTTCATGTCTTACTTTTTTTTCTTTCTTCTTTCCCTTTTAGGGCTTGAAGAAGATTGGTAACGTAGAGAAAGCTATCGCTTGTATTCCGTTAAATTACAAATTATATAAAATTGCCCAAAAAAAAGAAATGAAAAATTACTAAAGCCGGCCGTTAAGGGGAAAGCATGAGGTCGACCACTTTGCTTTACTCCACAAGCCGTTTTTTGTGTGGACACAGAAAAGCAATCTTACTATAAATACACAACTCCAGTGTATGTAGATAACGATATATATACGGTAAAATATTAGCGGAGTTTGTATAATTAAGCCTTGTGATTTATAATAAAATTAAAATTGTCGATAGGAGTTGTTGAAGTTACGATGATCTTAATTCAGATTACTTAAATGGCTCAAAATGATGAGTTTATTACTAGATTACCTCTTATTTAATTTTAATTACTATAATATTTTCATACCAAAAATCTAATCACAGAAATGTCATAATTTCTTAAGTATTATTAATATACTGATAAAATGGGTGCTGATCTAAGTGATTTCTCTATTTTTGAACGGTATTATTTGAATAAACTACGAAGATAGTAACAGTGAACTTTATGTTTATTTATATACAACACTATGTAATTGCCTCACAATTCACAAGTGTTTTATATCGTGTGATTATACACATATCCTAATTTTAATATATAGTTCTATGTTTAAACATTGAAATTTGGATTCATAAAAGTTGACAAGAAAAAAATGTTCAAAGATCAGTGTGGGTTATATACGTTACTTTCCATTTCTCAAGAAATGGGCTTAATAGGCCGATAGTTACTATTGGGCTGATGGTTAGGAATGCGAATTAAAGGTAGAATTCATAAGCTGGATTACAAAGTAAAGGTCTTGAAGCTTTACTTAGTTTAGTAATACTATCCATTGTTGCCAAAGAAAAAAACTTCCGACATTACTGATCCATAACTTAAACAGGCCCATAAACAAACGATTTATCAAAGAGAGGCCCAAACTTTCAATAAATCGTAATTTGTACTTTAAAAAATATGTTTAATGAATTGATATTTATGGCCCAACACGCTTTTCGGCCTATAATCACTTTTTAAACAAAGCTTTTTGTTCACTATCTTAATTTCATTTTAATATTGGTAACCACTTTTTTGCAGCATTTTAGAATTCATGGATGTATGCCAAACTTGAGAATGAAGGCATGAGACCAAAATATCCGAATAAACTGAGTAATGAATCTAATGATGAATTAGGAATGTTCTTTTTCCAGATAGATAATTAAGTTGTTATATATATATATATATAATTTTAATTTTTGAAAAGAGAAAAACGAAGATAAAAAAAAAGAAAAGATAAAGAGAATCAAAGGGAGGAGTTGGGGGAGATGATGGCATCTCTTTGCTTTGTAAATTTGGAGCATGTGACTTGATCCCTCTTTCCAACTCAAATCTCATATTCATATTTCATATTCTTATTTTTTTTCTTCTCTTATTATCTTTTGAGTTTATTATTCAGTATCTTTATTACATATTTATTAAGATATCCTAATTACGTTAATGTCCGAAAACTAACTTTAATCAAGAGTGAAACCATTTGATCAGTTTTTTAGGATGGCAAATTCGCGATAACCCATTTCTGTTTTTCCAGATTAATTCAAACTTTGAGGAAAATGAGAGTAGTTTGATATCATTTGACATAATTATCATATTGGTTGTATTAGGAAAAAAAATCAGTGGTGATCGTCGTTGGAGTGAAGCAAGTGGTTAAGTAAGATTTGGGAGTCTAATCTCATCTTAGGTTATGATTACAATCACGATCCCATTTCTTTCCTTTATACAAAAGCTGTCACCGTTACTCTTATCACATCTATTCTCGTTTTATTGGTTTTGTTTTTCCTTTCCGTCCATTTGGAACCAATTTTAGGCAACTGACAAAAACTTAATGAAGCATCGTTTCTTTTTTTGGCTCACAGCAAAATTAGTCGAGGAAAGGAACAAAAAAAACTACGGGTGAATATAGAAATAGATAAAATTTAAAAGCGACCAAAATAAGGAATACATATGATAATTACAATTGAAACAGGAAAGAATTTGTTTACATGTTTCATATTTTTATAGTCTTTTGAGCTTAACTCGAACCTAGTTTACGATAGCAAAATGTGTTAAAAAATCATAACAGTTGTATCTAATGGTTTTGTTTTATTTTATTAGGCAACTATATAAACTTGAAGTGTAATATTATTGAAGGGGAGCAAATTTTGTAACCTTTTATAATATAATAGACGCGAGCTAGCTAATGGAAGGATACATGTTGTTAATTAGGGTTTTGTTTTATCATATTTATGATAATAATGATTAATTTTGGCAGTTTTCATTTGAGTTTCAACACTATAAAACTATTTAGTAAAAATATTGAATTCTTAAGCGACTAACCTATATATAATTTGATTAAGTTGCGCTGTAAAATACTTTATCCCCCTCATTTTTAGATCTGTTAATGAAACCTGCCTAAGGAATGACTATGAGGAAAGGCAAAAGCCTAAAAGGAAACGACAGTGGAGAGTGGATGAAAAGAAGGTCACGTGAGTAAGACGTAAGGTCACGTGCGGGATCGATTTTTTCCTTTTCTTAGATCGTGATTGAATATGAATTTATTAATGTAGAGTTTTTATTAAAAAAACTTCCAACATTTACTATACGCATGTATTTTGATTTATCTGTCTTTTCCTCTCTTTTTTTTTTATTTATTCAGAAATTATCTTCCTTTTTCCCTTAACTGTATGGGCGCTAGTACATCCATTATATAAGCCAAATAGAAGAAATAATAGTTTGTCTGCATTATTGAAAACTTATAGAATTTGGTATTTAATGAATTTATGCAATTATATCCTTGGGTTATTCACAAGAACCATATACCTTTTTTCTCTACTTTGTTTCCAAGTGTAATTCGAAAAGAATCTTAACATGTAGTCATGTAGATGTGGACCAACCTTAGAAAATGATGACATATCATTCACATATAGTTAACAATGACAAAATTGCTAAAACTGTCTATATATAATTGGATTGCTTAAACAATAATGGAACCAAAGATGTATTAGTGATATTAATCACACTATTTATAGGACTTGAGAGTGACAGTCAAAAAGTTAATCACACTATAAATATGTTAACTTAGTTGTTTTAATTATTATTCTTACATCACATAAGAGTGAGCACCATATGAATATTTGAATTCTCTCATAATATTCCTATAATTTGCAATTATAATAGATCTTCTGATATTTCAAATCTACAATTTGCATTATAATTTGGTAATCTTAATTTCGAATTTTTATATAAATTAAAAAAAAAAACATTTTTTCCCCTCATATATTAGATATAAAAATATATAAAAGAATGTTTTCGAAATCAATTAAAAAATAGTTTGTGAAGGTTCAAGAAAACCAGACAAATTCATCAATCAGACAAGATATGGGGTCCAAGCCAAAAATCCATATATCCAACATACTCTAAGAAACAAAGTCTAAAATATAAATACAAAATAACAAAAAGAAAAATCTAAATGTAAATCTAAATGATACCTCCCCTCTCTCTCTCTCTCTCCAAGAGTGTATATATAGATTGTATGTAATGATGGAACAGTGCAATGAGCTTTATAAGCAGAGGCAATATAGGCATCAAAGACCCCCTTACTTGCTCTAAACTCTCAACTGTATGAGAGAGAGAAAGGTTAATGATTCAAAATAGCAAAGAGAGAGCTAGAGAGAGAAAGTGAGACCCAAGAAAAAGCTTTCATCATATAACATAAGAGACCTTTGAAGAGTCTAAGAAAAAGTTTTGAAAAGCTTTTGTTGCAGAAAGCTTAAAAGCCCTTTTCTCCCCCTATAACTCTCTCTCTTTATTAGTCCTTCCTCTTCTTTGTAAAGCTGAAACTTCCACTATCTTCAAAATTTCTTGTTCTTTCTTCTTTATTTTTATTTGTCTCTGGGTATGTTTCATCAAATCAATCTCTAGAATCCAAACACAATAAAGTCAAAAAAGAGAGAAAGAAAAGTAGTAATTGATAAGAACTGATCAAGGAGCAGTAGAGATGTTGGACGTTGCTGCTTCCAACAAGAACACTAACACATGCTGTGTGGTTTCTTCTTCTTCTTCTGATCCTTTACTCTCTTCTTCCGAAAATGGGGTCACCACCACAAACACATCCACTCATCAGAAAAGGAAAAGAAGACCTGCAGGTACACCAGGTAATAAAGACCCACTACAGAAAATTTAATTCTTAAGTTTCACTCTTTTCTTTTTTCCCCCGTATGACCAATATCAACTCATGGTCTATTATTGTGTTTCCCTGATTTTCTCTTAAACCCCATTAAAAACCACACTTTTTTT